AAAGCTGGGGTTAACGATGTGCTGGTAGCCTCACCCCACTTTTTAACTGGGATCTGAACTCAGGTCCTTATGCTTGCACAATGAACGCTCATGTGCCCTGAGCCTTCTCTCAAGCCCTGAGACTCTTAAGAATATTAATGGGTGTGCTTTCCCAGACTTAGTGTTTATTTCTCTATCTGGGCTGTTGTTTTAGAATAGGTTCTGGCAATAAATAAGTACTCTCCAAATAAGTCACTGTGCCTTTACATCACACTCCTCCATTACTTAGTAAGTCATGCGTAGACTGTCTTTGCTCCATTGTTATCTGTGTTCTGTTAACATAGGTGAGCACCATGGATGGAATTGTTGTGCCAAATAGAATTAGTGCATGGCACCTTTCATCTGTTTCTACTGCCATTGGCTTCCTTCTCCTTCACAAAGTTCTTATCCTAAAAGAAAAACAAAACACTGGTTATCGTGGGTTACTTAGTCCTATCCCTCCTGAGGCTGAGGCAGGATTTGGGTTCCAGGTTAGTCTGGCCTATAGTGTGGCCCTGTCTCAAAGCAAAACAGAGTAGGAAATCAAATTATTGTTTGATTTCCATGGGTATCTTCGTCTTAATTATAGCGTTAAATGTGTTTGACCCTTAGACCTTTAGCTTGTGCCTGACACTGTGGGAGAAGAACCTCATACGTAGCCAAATGGGACCTACTCCACTTTTCTCTCAGATACACTAAGGTGTAGACAAAACTTACTTGGTTCTCTGTAGTCTCTGAAATTAAACAAAAAACAAACAAACAAAAAATGTCATTGAGCTGGGATAGAGGGGTAGCTTAGGGTTTGATCATGGGCTTCATGTGTACAGATTTCTAGGTTCAAGCCCTGACAGCCTCCCTACCCAAAACATTTCACAAAAAGAAGTTCATATCTATAATGTATACCCAGGCTCCTTAGTGTAATTCCCCACTGTGTTAACCTTTGCATGTTCACACTGGGGTAGTTGGTAGTTGTCAGCTAGTTTCTTGTTTTGCCAGAAATGTGAGTGTAGTTTAAAGAAGGAAGGAATAGAGAGTGGGGTCCCAGGGAAAGACGGGGTCTCTTGCTCAGGACTTGTCTGTAGCTCTGCAGTGTCCAGCACACCTCACTCAAAAGAAGTGGTTTCCAGAGCACTGGGGGTCTAAATTCGGAGTACCATTCAGAGCAAGCATGCTAATGCACTGTGTTATTTTACAGCTCATGTGGACGACTTATTTCCATTTTTCTTGAGACATGCCAAACAGATATTTCCTGTATTGGAATGCAAGGATGATCTACGTAAAATCAGTGACTTGAGGATACCACCCAACTGGTTAGTTCTTATATTTACTGATAGGGAATTTCTGAATTTGGGGAAACTAATGTTGGTTATTTTATTTTATACTAGATTAAAAAAAAAAAAATAAGGAGTCTAAATTTTGTTTTTCCTAAAAACAAAATAAAGTAGCCAAGGAATTAATTCTGTCAGACACTTCACTGGTGTGTTCCTTTCATCTGATGGTTGAGGTTTTCTTAAGTCTGATTTCTTTTTTCTTTTTCTCTTTTTAAATATACTTATTTTTGTTTTATGTACAGTGGTCTTTGACTGCATGTATAGAGATACATATATGAGAGTGTCAGATCCCCTGGAACAGGAGTTACAGACAGTTGTGAGCTGCCATGTGGGTGATGGGAATTGAACCTGGGTCCTCTGGAAGAGAAGTAAATCCTCTTAACCTCTGAGCCATCTCTTCAGCCCCTTGAGACTGATTTCTAATGACGTTTCTTTTGTAAGGTTGTCCTGATAGGTTAGCTGACTACCTGAATATTAGTAGTTCTTTCCCCATGGCTGAAACTGCACTGTCTCTTAGGTCTTAGCTATGACACCTTTGGGATACTCTGCTCCAATCTGGTGGGCTGCTCTCTGGGCCCTGCCAGTTCTCACCTTGGCCCTTGGCCAGAACCCCATGAATCCCCAGATATCAAGACTCCCACTCTCTTCACCTTTTCTGCCCTTTAACATTCTGCCTTTCAAATTCAGACTGCACTCTCAAGCAGAGACAAAGCTTGGGATTTGATCCCCAGCGCTGCATCAGACCAGGCATGGTGGTGCATGCCTGTAATCTCAGCATTTGCGAGGCAGAGAAGTTAACAATTCAAAGTTTCTGGTTATAATGGTGTACAACTTTAGTCCTAGCACTCAGTAGACAGAGGAAGGAGAATCTCTGTTTGAGGCCAGCCTGTTCTACATAGTTCCATGTCAGCCAGGGCTACATAGAGAGACCCTGTCTCCAGGGGGAAAAAAAAGAAGAATGGATAGATGGATGGCTTGATAGAAGGATAAGTAGATAGATAGATAGATAGATAGATAGATAGATAGATAGATAGATAGATCTTTGCTGTATAGCAGGTTGGAGGCTAACCTAGGCTACATGAAACCCTGTCTTTAAATTTTTTTTTTTTTTTTAATTTCAGCAACTTCAGCAGCTCTAAGTCTGCTCTCCTGCTTGTTCAGGACAATTACTGCTTTCCTCTTGGGTTCAACCTCCCTGTGTCCTGGTGGGATGCAATAAGGACCATCTGCTGTACTTCCTTCCTTCAGAATAGTCCTCACCGCCTTTGCCTCTGTCCCAATGAGCTACTGTGATATTTTGCCCAGTTCCGTAGTAGGGCCTCTCTCCTCACCAGGAGCAGAGGCTCAGTCGCTGTATTTATAAACACTGAAATTACAAAGCCTTCAGTATTTGCTTTGGGGTCTGTTGTAGGTGGTGATTAATATTTACTATTGATATATCTTATGGTAAAGCTTGCTGTTAATCCTGAACAGCTGTATAACCAAATCACCACACAGAGACTATGATTTATTTAATTAACCTAGAACTCAATGCTGGGCAATATTTACTCCATCCTAAACCTCCAAGCCCTCATAGTTTCCTAACATTCAGATTTCCCACATTATACTTGCTCTTATTGATATATTAGGGCCAGTCCATCTCTCCATGTCGTTCCAAGATCTCTCCTCCTGCATATGTTCTCCCAGCCTCTCCTCTGCCCTCCTCTCCTTCTCTGCCTCCCACCTTCCTGTCCTTTGGCTCTTCCCTCTCTTCCTGCTTCCTCTCTATTGCTCAACATTGTGGCTAGTTGCTTTATTTTGGCATGTTTACACAAAGTTGAGACAGGATGCCTCAACTTTGTATCACAATGTAAGTATCACAATGCACTGACTGGATTCAAACCAGAGAGTGGGAGAGAGAAGTCAGCATTTGAATGAACAAGGGTAAGGTGTATACATTTCAGAGGAACATTATAACAACAGGGGTCTTTGGGTTCCGAGCAGTGGGAGTGATGTAAACATATCTGTGGGACTGATGGCAGTTTAAATCCGTTTTCAATAACATTGAGATATTCAAAATACTCACTGAGGTTTCTGTCCTCCAGTAAGTGCTATTCTGAGAAATCTTGGTATTTTAATGTGGTTATACATCCCTTCATTGATACATCCCTTCATTTTGCAAAGACTGCTAGAATGGATTATGAGGTTAATAGACTTAAGCTCTTTACCTACTCATGTTTTAGGTACCCAGAAGCCAGAGCCATACAACGGAAGATAATATTTCACTCGGGCCCCACCAACAGTGGGAAGACTTATCATGCAATCCAGAGATACTTGTCAGCGAAATCTGGAGTGTACTGCGGCCCTCTGAAGCTGCTGGCGCACGAGATCTTTGAGAAGAGCAATGCTGCTGTCAGTACCCTGCCGAGTGTTTCCTCATTTCCTTGATAGTTTTTCATTTCTTGGGGTGAGGATGGATGTGGGGAAAGAAATACGTAGTAATTCACTGTGGACAGAAATGCCTGTTTGAGTGTACCTTGAAGCTGTCAGTTGTATGAGGTGATGGTGTCACTACGAGTGGGAGGAAGAGAGGCTAAACTCTGACATGCCATCCATATGCTGCATCCTTAGATCAGAGAAAATGTGAGAAAGGGGCCCGTGATCCCGGCACTTGGAATGTGGACGCAGGAGGATCTTGAGTTTGAGGCCAGAGGCAGGCCTGGGCTACATAGGGAGCCCCTGTCTCAAAAAAACAAACAAAAACTATCAAAGAAAAGTGAAAACAGCAACACCTAGTATAGAAAGTGAAGTGAAATATTACTGAATGTTTTATGTAGCGAGAATTGCAGAAAATGACGTGGAGCCTTCTGTCAAGCTCTTCATGTGCTTTGCCCCGCCCCCTTTTATAGCATTTGCTTGCTTTTTCAGGAAGAGAGCATGAATTAGTTGGAAGTTGCTCTGAACTCCTCCTTGGCTTATGTAGTGCTCTGCCGGGATGTTTAGCTGCCAGTGTCTTGGGTCAGACACTGATGCTCAGGACTAGAGCCACACTTTCAAAACTGGATTTGAGGCCATTTTGTTTGAGGCATCCTTTCACTAAATGGACCATTTTATATTGTTTAGTATAGCATACTGCGATGTTATCCAATTTGGCTTAGATAATTTGTATTCTGCATTTAAAAGATTACTTTTTTTTTTAATACATAATGCTTTTTCCATACATTTGGGATATTTCAGACCAAAGACCTGGTTAGTTTTTTTGTTTTGTTTTTTTCTTTGTTAACATAACTAGTGTATTTATCTGAAAGGATATTTAATTTATAGTCTACTATTATTTAATACTTAATCCATAATCAAATTCAGGTTTTATTGGGCTGAAGAAATGACATCACTGGTTAAGAGTACTTGTTGCTTTTGCAGAGGATCCATGTAGGGTAGCTCACAGGGCCACTCACTCCTGCTCCAGGGATCTAGCACCCTCTTCCAGCCTCTGCTGGTACCACACACATGCACATAAGTTAAAAAATAAAATTGTACATTTTTGTGTGTGTGTCAGTTGTCAAGTAACAATGTCCCTGGTCCCTCCTAAGATCCCATCTTCAATTCTCACATGGCATGGCCATTCTGATCTCAGAGTTCCTCATTCTATCTTTGTCTCCTGTGAGTTCTTTATTTTTTAAATACTGGAGGTTAGTTGTTGCCTGGACTTTCTTAGATTGAACACATAATATCCTTCATTCTGATGAGCCTTGCATTCCTGGCTAAAATCGATGAGTGTATCACACCCCTTATGTTGCTTCTTCTGGGGGAGTTAAACTGAGATGTCTTTTTATTCTCAGGCTTCCCTCACAGTGTTCTTAAGTATAGAAACAATTCACATTCATTGAATTAACTCCATTAATGCTGAAATGTACAGAGAGAAAATGAAAGATGATAGAGCAGTATAGTGAGAATTCTGGAATTTTGGTTTCTTTACAAAACATAGGAATGTTATAAATATATGTTTTTGTTTTAATCCCAGGTATGAGGATATGGGGTTGCTTTACACTGTCTGACTGACAGGCAGATGACTATGATTTGCCCTGTGCTCTAGCAGAGGCATGGTTTACGAGCTGTGGATGGTTTCTGTGATTGTGTGACATTTGGAATTCTGGGAATTTGTCAGAGGGTGTATAAATGCTGGAGCCCCAGGAGACAGGGTGGGTGGTTGGTGTTCATTCAGGGGGAGTGGTTGCAGTTTGATAGTAGTTGTGCTCAAAGAAGAAAGAAATGAGATCTCAGATCTCTGTCTCTCCTCTCTCCTCTATCCTTCTTTCTCCTTTGTAGTGATAGGGGTGGAACCAGGGGGATAGAGAGTGGGAAAAAACGAACCCTAAAGTAGCAAAGGTCAGCTACAAGCAAAGAAGAAACAGAAATTAGATTCACAAATAGCTATCCCTCTTTCTCCCTCTCTATCTAGTGATATGGGGTGAAATCAGGGCAGAGTGTGGGGGATAAAGCATGGGGGAAAGAAGAACCCACATAATAGCAAAAATCAAGCTACAGGCAGGACATTGTGGCACATGCCTGTATTTCCAGCACTTGGGAGGCAGAGGCAGACAGATCTCTTGAATTTGAGGCCTGCCTGTTCTATAGTCTAGGACAGCCAAGGCTACACAGAAAAACCGTGTCTCAAAAAGAAAACAAACAAAAAAAGCTTAAGAGCAGAAAGAAAGCTTAGTGGTAGACGACTTGCCTGGCTTGGGCAAAACCCTGGTTTCACCATGTATTACTGCAGAACAAAGCCAGAACCAGAACTATTAGCTGGGTTCCTTGATGCATGCCTATAATCCCAGTACTTGTGAATTGGAGGATCAGAAGCTTAAATCATAGTTACATAGTTAATTTGAGGCCAGCCTGGGCTACATTAGACTCTGTCTCAAGAAACAGGAACTGCTACAATTTTTCTACTGAGGATTCTTCTGATTTGTCTAAGTTGTACAACAAAGTAGCTCTGCGTGTGTGTGTGTGTGTGTGTGTGTGTGTGTGTGTGTGTGAAGTATGTAACTTAAGCTTTGGTAATATTTTATTCAGCTATTTAAATAATTTTGATAGTAATGGAATAAGTTCTTTTCAACCCTAGGCTACTTTTTGTTACCATTTTCAAGTCAGAGATGAGTCTGGTTTGTTTTGTTTTGTTTTTTGGTTGTTTTTTGTCATTCCAGGATGTGCCATGTGAGTTGGTGACAGGTGAAGAGCGGCTGACAGTTGCGCCTGAGGGGAAAGAAGCCACCCATGTCTCTTGTACTGTGGAGATGTGCAATGTTACAACTCCTTGTATGTATATGCTGTTCAGAAAACTAGGACTTGGGGGTTTTCAGTATAACTAAATTTAGGATATAGGGCTTTGTGGTGAATAGTTAAAAATCTAGAAGAAAACAGTACACTAAATATTTAGCGTTAAGCTAACTTTACCGTGCTTGCTTCTGAATCCTTGTGGTCCTTTGTTGTGGATGAAATTGAATCCCAGTGCAGTAATCCCTGCACTTGAGCAGAGGCAGGTGGGTGTCTGAGTTCCAGGACAGCCAGGGCTACATAGTGAAACATTGTAAGTCAGACATAGTCTGGTTGTGTTACATACACACATATATACGTGTGTGTGTGTGTGTGTGTGTGTGTGTATTTGAGATCCATTTACACTGTTACATAATATTCTTTTTTTTATGGCAAGATTTCTTCATTCCCTGTTAAGAAATATTTAGGTTGTTTAAATTTGGCCATGGGTTGGGAATGTAACTCAGTTGTAGAGCACTTGCCTAATAAATGCAAGGCCCTGGGTTCAATACTTAGTGCTGAAATCAAAAGTCTGTATTCTATACAGTGCATTAATGAACTTCTGGCTTTAATTTTGAAAATACTGAAGTGCAAGTAAACAAAGAACACACATATATATATATATATATATATTTTTTTTTTTCAGACCCACTTGTCTCCCAGTGAGTTTTAATTAACCCTGTGGTGTATATTTTCTTGACTTTCTTTGCCAGTGTTCAGATTTTGTTATGTGTTATAATAGGGTATGCACTCAGGTGAATATGTTAAATATAGTAAAAATCATATGGGATTTTACTAATAGCTTGCTTTTCTTTTTAAAATCAGCTTTTCAAATAAATAGTTTTACATTTTTCAGTGTATTGTAAAAGTCATATAGTATAACCATGCAGATAGCACACAGAATCAAAGTGGTCTCTGCTTCCTGCTTTTTAGTCTGTTCATCATGATGTGATGAGTAATTTTTAATTTGGTTTTCAGTATAAATTACCTTTCTTTGACTCTCAATTCCTTGGTATTTGGAGGAGAATGAAATCGTGTAATGTGGTTAGAAGTATTTGGGATTAGAGGGAAGCCGCGCTGCGGCTTGACTTCCCGTGGTGAAGGGGTTAACACCTGTAAGCAGGAGCAGAGCCAGCCCTGCACCACTGCACCTGCTGCTCCCAGAGCCCCCTCCTGACGCTTTTGGCATCCTGAAGGGCTCTCCACTCCTCACTCCAGAAACATAGTTTCTTCCTCCTCCTTTGCTACCATGTAGATGTGGTGTTGCTTTCTTTGTGTTGTATCCTTGGCTGTCCTGGAACTTGCTGTGTGGACTGGGCTGGTCTCAACCTCATAGAGATCTACCTGCCTCTCTGCCTCCATACTGCTGGGATTAAAGATGTGTGCTATGCTAACATGCTGGGCTAAGATTTATTGTAAGTTGTGTTGCCCCGAGAGTTCAGAAGAGTGCATCAGATTCAGGTCCTCTGGAATCACCCTGCATTACCCATCAGGCTGTCTTCAGGCTGGTGTGGTCATTGCTGTTAGGTGGAGTCAGTAGGGTGTGTCTGAGGTTGTAACCAATGGGATAGATAGAGACAGGAAAGTGCTCTGTGTGCTGTGTGGCTTGGATTTGAATCTCATCCCTACACATGCTGTCTAACTTCTGTGGACCTCAGTTTACTTTTCCTGTCAAATGGAGATAACTGCATAGGTTTGTATGAGGAGCAAACCACTTAGACCAGGGCTGCTAGAAAAGATGCGCTTAATAAGCCATGGTCATGGCGCTGGTGAGGGGGAAATTGGTGTTGGAGCTTAAGTGGCTTTCTTGCTCATGGAGACTCTTTTGTTCTAAGATGAAGTGGCTGTGATAGATGAAATTCAGATGATTCGAGACCCAGCCAGAGGATGGGCCTGGACCAGAGCGCTGCTAGGTGAGTGCTCTCACTGTTTCAGTCAGCTGCTGCTGCCTCTCTTCTTGGGAAAGTTAAGTTAAAAATCAAAATTATAAAGTTAACACAACCAGTGGTAGAGCACTCTCCCAGTATGGGAGGGCCCTGGGTTTAATCCTTAGGTTGCAACTGGGGACATTTGTAGAGTACTTCCAGCAGGCCATGCATGAAGCTGTTCCCAGAACCACATAAACCAGGTATGGTGGACAGCCCATTGTCCCAGCACATGGGAGGAGGAAGCAGGACCATAAGGAATTGAGAGGATTATCATGGACTACACAGCAAATTCAGGGCCAGCCCAGGCTACCTTGAGATACTGCCTCAGTCTGGTCATGGTGGCACACACCTTCAATCCCAGCACTCAGGGAGGCAAAGGCAGGAGGATCATTGTGAGTTCAAGGCTAGCCTGGTCTACAAAGCGAGTCTGCCATGGCTACACAGAGAAACCCTGTCTTGAAAAGCAAAACAAAATTAAAAAAAAAAAAAAAAAGATGCTGCCTCAAAAGGAAAAAGGAAAGTTTGTCTTGGCATATTCACAGTCACTGGTAACGTCTTGATCTGTTTCACGTCAGCTTTCTGTGCATATGGTGTCTGAATGCCGTTAGAAGAGAAGAGAGCAGTGTAAACCCCTGTGTGCATTTACAGGGCTCTGTGCCGAGGAAGTCCATTTGTGCGGAGAGTCTGCTGCTATTGACCTGGTCTCTGAGCTTCTGTACACAACTGGGGAGGAGGTAGAGGTAAGGTCCATGGGCTCCGTTCTCACGGGCTCGCTGCAGAGCTGAGCTCCAGTGTCAGCACTGGGCTGCAGATCAGCACTCAGCTGCAGAGCGAGCGCGCAGTGAACCATGTGTGAAGTTGGCACAAGCAGACCCCTTGTTTGCATGTGTCCGAAAAAGCATTTTTATTAGTCATTTGTTTTTGTTTTGTGTACATTTTTGTGTTTTGCCTACATGTGTGAGACAGTCAGATCCTCTGGAACAGGAGTTACAGACAGCTGTGAGCTGCCATGTGGGTGCTGGGAATTGAGGGTCCTCTGGAAGAGCTGCCATTGCTCTTAACCACTGAGCCACTTCTCCAGTCCCGTAATTTTTCCTTTTTAGAAAAATTAAAACAGTTCGGCAAAAAGGAAATCCTTATTTTAGCTGAGTGGCTCATATATATGGTAGAATTTCATAATGTGAAGTTCTGATGGATAAGCCATGACGCATATGTCTTCTAAGCATGGGAAATCTTTATTTCACAGAATTCCTGGTTGGTTGGTTTGTTTGTTTGTTTGTTTGTTTGTTTGGGGGGACGAGTAAGTTTCATTGGTTCATTGGTTTTGGTTTTGGTTTTTGAGATATGGTCTCACTGTGTACCCCAGGTCAGCCTCAAAATTCGTGGCAATCTCCTGCCTCAGCTTCCTGAGTGCTGGGATTCTAACTACCACACTCAGCTTTCTAGCTTTCACTTTCACAAAAATCTTTGGAGTGTAGAGCCAGATATGTTTACTTATTCGTGGTGCTGGGAATCGAACCTTATCCTTGCCCTATCACTGAACTACATCCACAGCAGATGAATAAGTCTCTTTAGAACTAAGTAAGTCAGACTGTTGAGTTTGAAACCCAGCCTGAGTTCGTGTGTTCTAAGGCCTATTTATCCCACAGTGGTGCCTTTTGTGTTTCTCCAGTCATCAGGTCTAGTCTGCATCCTTTTGGCAGATACAGAGGAGTAAGAAACTGGTTTCCTCTAAAAACTGCCCTTATTTTCCCTTACCAAAATTCTTTAATAAGGTAGTAAAGTTGTATCTGTTACTTTTTTCATTGCTAAGACAAAGTTGATGAGGTGGAAGGGCAGATGGGCTTCTCTTAGCATGTCGTTTCAGGGTCAGAAGCTGAGAGCTGCTAACATTAAATCAGCCAGCTTTGTTTTCTGTTCTCGCCGAACCCTAGCTGCTGTTACCCACATCTAAGGTGGGCCTTCCAGAGATCTGTGTCCATGGTGACTCTAAATCCAGTCTACCTGTTGGTAAAGATTAGCCTTAGGTTGGCCCGTTACAGTTTCATGCTCTACTTTGAGAGAGATGGACTAGAATGCAATGGGAGAAATTGCAGACTCAAATCCTGGATGTTGCTGCTTTGGGCTCTGTCTGCAGCAAACCACAGAAGGCCTCTGATCTCATGTTTTAGTGGACTATTTTACTGTGTCATAAAATAGAAATATCAGTCAATAATCTTTCTGAAGCTGCCATATTGTCCTGAAAATAAATGTGCATTAAAGTTCTTTAAGGATGTCAACACAATAATATTAATTTAGCGGTATCAAGAATTGAAGATAGCCCAGCATCAAATGAGTGCTTCTAAGTGTTGCTCCTGAAAGGAGCTGCTGAAGTAGCTTTAGTTCCAGTTGAGTGCCTTGCAAGCTTTTCAGCGGCTGGCCCCCTGCTGCTGACTGAGTGTACTTTTCCATGTGTGTCTTTATTGCAGGTTCAGAAGTACGAGAGGCTCACCCCCATTACCGTGCTGAATCATGCACTGGAGTCTTTAGACAACCTTCGGCCTGGGGACTGCATTGTCTGTTTTAGCAAGAATGATATTTATTCTGTGAGCCGACAGATTGAAATCCGGGGAATGGAATCTGCTGTGATATACGGCAGTCTCCCGCCTGGTAATAACTGGCCTTCCTTTACTGTGACACTCACTTTTGCCAGTTAGGTTGACATGTGTATAGAAAGCATAGTAAGAGAAAAAATGGAATTAACATGAACTGTTTCTTCCAGGGACCAAACTTGCTCAAGCAAGAAAGTTTAATGACCCCAGTGATCCGTGCAAAATCTTGGTAGCCACAGATGCAATTGGCATGGGACTTAATTTGTAAGTCATTTGTTTATAATACAGAGTGGGTTAGATGGCAGGATTGTTTTTTTCTTTAGTTTTCTAATTGGTTAGGATGGAAATAATAATGTAAATTTGAGCTTTATCTTTTATACTTGTTGGGGAAATAAACAAGAATATCACAGAGCTCTGGGATTTGGAGTGCTTCCCCTACTAGACAAACACCAGCTGTTACCTGGCTTTATTTTGGGTTTTTAGTCATCAGGTGTCCAGGTGCCTCCAGGTGCGGCACTATTCTCTCTAGGAAATGAAAGTGACCAGACTGTTCAGACTCAAAGAACTCGTAGGAGCTCTTGGTGGCTGCCTGTGCTTGTTGTGTTTGGGGCAGTCTTGCTGGGTTGCCCAGATTGCCCTGCCGTGGGTTTAGCATGTAGCCCACGCTGACCTGGAGCTCTTAGCACCACTCAGTTTGTCTTTGTTGTTTTGATTTTTTTTTTTAAAGGATTTAAACTGTTTCAAATTTTATGTCCGAGTGTTTTGTCTGCATGATATGAACGTGAACCACGTGTGCAGAGGGGCCCGAACTCTGAAACTAGAGTTACAGGTCATTGTGAGCTGCCATGTGGGTACTGGAAACTGAACTCAAGTCCTCTGCAGGAGCAGCCAGTGCTCCTAAACTGAGCCATCATTACAGCCAGAATCAATAAGGTTGGCCTCATTTGTGTAGCCCAGTCTGCCCCTGTCTCAGCTTCCTGGTGCAAGGGTTATAGGTGTGAGCCACAGTGCCTGCCTTCTTTACAGTAAAAAAAGAAGTTAGCCAGGTGTGGTGGCACACACCTGTAATCCCAGCACTCAGGGAGGCAGACACAGGTGGAACTCTGAGTTTAAGGTCAGCCTGCTCTACATAGTTCTGGGAAAGCCAGGGCTATGTAAAGAGACCCTGTCTTAAAAAAAAAAAAAACAAACAAAAAAAACCACTAAATTATTTATGTGAATGAGTATTTTCCTGATGTATTTCTATAAAAGTAGAAGTACTTGTCTGCCTGTTATATGCCCCAGCACTGGGGTCAAGATAGTTGTGAACTGCTGTGTGAGTGCTGAGAATAGAATTAGGGTCTTCTGGAGGAGCAGCCAGTGCTTTTAGCGCCTGAGCCATCATCTCTCCATCCCACCCACCCCCTTTTTTTTTCTTTTTTGAATAGTTGCAAAATTAGACAAGGCCTAAGTGAGATTTGGACTGAGTACATGTGATGATCCAGGTTACAGAGGCCTGTGTGTGCTCTGTGGGGTCACTCTTATTTCTATTTCAGGAGCATAAGGAGAATTATTTTTTACTCCCTTATAAAGCCCAGCATCAATGAAAAGGGAGAGAAGGAGCTAGAGCCGATCACCACCTCCCAAGCTCTGCAGATCGCAGGCAGAGCCGGCAGATTCAGCTCCCAATTTAAAGAGGGAGAGGTTACAACAATGTACCAGAAGGACTTGGCTTTGTTGAAGGAGATTTTGAATAGACCTGTGGATCCTATACAGGTAAGGCCTACATGTCACTACAACTGCTTCATGTAGGTAGGACAGTCGCTCCTGCCTCAAATGCATGGAAGCAGAAGGGCAGCTGGACTTTACAGGAAAGCTGTCCTTCGGGCTGGAGAGATGACTCAGCAGTTCAAAGGTCATACTGCTTTTGCAAAGCACCTGAGATTGGTTCCTAGCACCATACCAGGAACCTCCGTAACCACCTGTAACTCCAGTTTCAGGGATCCTCTGCCCCTCATCCCACCAACATAAGTAAATAAACAGAAGGCTTTCCTTTACTGTTTCAGAGAGGCATCAATACCTTTTAGAGGATTGTGTACAACTAAAAGATCCGGATTCAGTGGGTTTAGCTGGCCTGATTTTCCTTGCTGTGGGTACACATAGATTCATGTCAGTAAAGTGGAAAATGGACAGAAGCTTCAGTAGAGAAGAAACTTAGCATTGAGCTATACAGTTACAAGCAAGCAAGGACTCAATTGAATCATTTTAAAGCAAGCTAACTTAATAGTTTTAAGTTTTGAGAAACCTACTTTAGTAGCTTATTTCATTTGTCAGTAAGATGATGTAAAGGGAACTATATCTGAGAAAATGGGGTGAAGGCTGGTGACGGGACTTCTGTTCCTGAGTGTAATAGGTTCCTGGGTGGCTGCTATGTAGTTTATGCTCAGCCCTACTTTTCTCCTGTATGCCCCTTTTCTAGACTTTATCCGACCTTTCTAGTTTGCATCTTCTGATTCTCTCTTCCCCCACCATTTCCTCTCTTTCCTCCTCATACTTACCCGTGGACATTGCTTAGCACAGTAGTATATACTCGTGTCCACAGTAGATGTTTTCTTGTGTTCTGTCTCACACATTGAAATATATGGAGTTGCCTTGTCCATTTTATTCAATGGAGAGAATTGCAATTTGGAAAATTGTTTCATCCTTGAAGACATTTTTGATATTCTGTTGGATCATTAATATATTCTAAAAATCTGGCTAAAACATAACAAAGGGCTACGTAGTCTGCCATCTTCATAATCCTATCAGCTTTTCTAATTGCAGTAAATTATTAAAATGATCATGTCTTTTTCTCTATATTACTGAAATCCTGGCATGGTAAGAACTTGGCCTAATGTAGGACATTGTTTCAAATGAAAATGCCCTTCAAAAACTGAAGGAAAATGAAGCTCACGATGATCTTGTCTTTTCCTCTGCAGGCCGCCGGTCTTCACCCAACTGCTGAGCAGATCGAAATGTTCGCCTACCATCTCCCTGAGACAACGCTGTCCAATCTCATTGTAAGTGGAAGCTCTTTTCATTTTTCCTTTTAAAATTGTTGACGTGGCGTGTCAGAACCGGCTCACTGCGTAGGCAAGAGTGGAGGACAGGCTGCTGTGTGCAGCTGCCACACATGGCATTTTTATTGCTGGTGAAACTTCCAAAATCTGGGTGTGTTGGTACGCACCTGTAAGCCCAGCTCTCAGGACCCTGAAGCTGGAGACCTGGAGTTGGAGGCTAGCCCAGGGGCCATAGTGAGCCTCTGTCTCTAAAGAAATTGAGGTTAGGGAAGGTGGTGGGAGAAATGCCTCAGCTTTAGAGAGCAGTCAGAGAAGCACAGCTCTCCTGAGATCTGCTAGGGACTAATGGGGTCGTCCTTTGTGGACTTTAGTCCTTTACTGAAACCCAGTAGGAGGATATCACATCCAGGCAGTGAATAATTTCACGTGTATTTTTCCCCAGGATATTTTTGTAGACTTTGCACAAGTTGATGGACAGTATTTTGTCTGCAATATGGATGATTTTAAGTTCTCTGCAGAGTTGATCCAGCATATTCCACTAAGTCTCCGGGTGAGGTATGTGTTCTGCACAGCCCCCATCAATAAGAAACAGCCTTTTGTCTGCTCGTCATTGTTACAGGTATGTCTTTAGCTCTATGCTCTTTTGAGTTGTTCCAAATTGATCCATTTTTCTCCAGACAGTACTCTGTCCGTTAAAAGAAAATGCTTGGAAATAGGAGACTTTGTGAAAACTTAAGCATAAAGTGACTTGGTCATTTTTGAAAGATAACTTTGCCTTGTATTTGGGCCTGGATGGTAGCCACTGTAAGCTGAAACACGTAGTTGAGTGAGCGCTTGGAGGGATTAGGGTTTAGTGGTGACAGTGGCACTGTGCGTCTTTTCTTCTTAGCTATTTGTACTGGGCTGTGGTGTGACTTGTGAAGAGCACAGAATTCTAGGAGAAAGGGCAGCAGAGCTGAACCACAGGGGCCCTAACATGCCTGGTGCTCCATCCTGGGGTGCCACTCATGCCACTAAACTCAGGGTTCCTGTCTGGACTTATTGCCATTTCTACCACAGGCCTTCATTCTGTGTATCAGCTCTAGTTCATTTAAATGTATTTCTGGATTTACCTTTTCAGTCATTGTAAAATTATATAAATGGTACACAAATACTTGTTATGCCAAATTAACACATTACAGATAGGTTAAAATTGCCATCCTCAGCCTCAGACCTACTCTTAGAGTTGTTCCACATGATTCCTACCTGCGTACCTACCTGAAGAAATTTCAGTTCTGTTTTGATGGTGTTTTTCTATAACTGTTATAATAATAATAATTCTGCAATTTGCCGTTTCCCTTTCCCTCAACAGTGTGTCTTAGAGGTCTAGGTTTAGGTCTTTTCCTGCAAGTATGTCATTGGTGGGAAAGCCAGGATAAGGGGGAGGTTGTGGGGCAGTCTTCAGGTACTGAATGCTCACATGACTAGAGCTTGTTCCTGTGGCCTTGGTCCTGTTCACACCATTCCTCAAACAACAATTTCAGTGACACAGGATCCTCTGCCAGGATGGAGGATCCTGGAAGAGTGCAAGTCATCAGCGGTTTAGGTCTTGTGTTGAGTGTGAAATCTAGAGAATGTTCTTGTTCTGGTACCTCCTCTGTCCTGAACTATAAGGAGCTCAGTCTTGCTGATGGCCTCTGGTGCCACTTGGAACCGTGGTTTTGAGAAGTCAGTTGGATTCTGGGGACCAAACTCAGTTCATCACACTTATCAGCAAGGGCCCTTCCCTGAGGGGTCAGTCTTGATGGCCTCATTTTAATTTTAAACAAACTGTTGAAGCTGAACCTGGTGGCACACTCCCATAACGCCAGTGCTCAGAAGGTAGAAGCAAGAGAATCAGAATTCAAGGCTTTTCTTGGTTAGATAGAAATTTTGTGGCCAGCCTGGCCTATGTAAGACCTTGTCAAATAAATGATTGCAAAGCATACATTTTTTAGAACATAGGAAAGTGTCAGTTAGGAGGGAAGCTAGCCTATCTTTTGAAACAGCCACAGTCTACAGGCTCCACTTCTTTTTCTCTGTGATTACAGACCTAAGAGGATTCTGGTTATTTTACCAAGCTTTCTTCTTTCCTCTCAGTTTGCCAGACAGTACAGCAGGAATGAGCCCCTGACCTTTGCATGGTTACGCCGGTACATCAAGTGGCCTTTGCTTCCGCCTAAGAATATTAAAGACCTCATGGACCTTGAGGCTGTCCATGATGTCTTTGATCTTTACCTATGGCTAAGGTAACAAACCTTTTCTTTTCTATGCTCTCAATTTTCTAACTCATGGGGCAAAGTAAAAGTTTTGTAAGTGGGCTTCTCCTCTTTCGTGTTAGGGAGATACACGACGTATTATGTATTTTCCATAAAGGTGCTTGAGTTTATACTCATTCCTGAAAAGGAGTCCCTAAGATAGCCTCACTAATGAAAGAGTGGTCCTTGATCGAGAGCTTTGCTATCCCTTGAGTACTGTTCTGAAGTAAAGGACTTGAGCTCCATTTAGACTTAAACTCTGCAGTAAACAAAATACTGCTCTGTGTGTGTACATGTTTGTACAGGTTTGTATGATGTGGGTGGGATTGCACATGCAGGGTGCATTTTCTTCCAATCAGGCCAACTGTGTGGGGTTGGTTCTTTACTTCCATATGTTATGTGGGCCCTGTGGCTCTAACTCAGCTCACAGCTTTGTGAAGTAATCACCTCTATCTTCTGAGCCATCTCAACAGCCCAGGTCCTGCATTTCAACAATGCTAACTTGTGTATTGACATTTTCAAGAACCTTTGCTCTAGAGCAGAGCACTCAGGATTAACGAAAGAGTCAGGAGGATCTCTGGGAGGCCAGCCTGATCTACAGAGTTCGTTCCAGGACAACCAAGGCTTCATGGAGGAAAAAAAAAAAAAAAAGTCCCCTGAGGTGGGCTTCAGACACAGCCTCAGGCCTGGGCAGAAACAAAGGCTGCACGAAGGCACTGTACTAATAGAAAAGGAATGTGAACAATCCTGTTGTCAGGATGTGCGTGCATTGTTACACTTGGCTCAGAGCTGCTGCTCTAATGCTCGTTGTTCTTTTCCCAGCTACCGATTTCTGGATATGTTTCCAGACTCCAGCCTTGTTCGAGGTCTCCAGAAAGAGCTGGATACCATTATCCAAGATGGTGTGCACAACATCACCAAACTGATTAAAATTTCCGAGTCACACAAGCTTTTGAATCTGGAGGGCGTATTAGGAGAGGACCAGTCACGTTTTTCAGGAACTGCAAAGAGCCCAGCAAGAAGGACACGTGGCACCAAAAGCTCAGGGAGTAAAGCTGAAGAGCCTGTCAGCCCCAGTGCCAAGGAGCTGCCCCTTGCATCTAGGCTGGTGCAGCAAGGACTCCTCACTGCAGACATGCTTAAGCAGCTCCAGAAGGAATGGCTGACTCAGCGAACAGACCATGGCAAAGAAAAGGCAGGGACACGGAGAAAGAAGACTGACCACAACTCTGATTAGGTTTTTTTAATTTTGCAAATAAAAATCAATTTTAAATCCTTATGTACACGGCATTCGCTGCCTGTGGTAGGATTGTGGCTATGTCGCACTTTTTTTTGTTTGTTTATTTTATTTTTTTTTTTTTTTCACAAAAAAGTAAATTCCTAAAGCTATTTAAACTACTTACTCCAACTGTTAAAATAGAGTATGTTTAAGGTTTTACTGAGTTTTCATAATGGCCTTTTCTGGGCTAGCCAGGACACTGCTGTTTAAACTCGGCATGGCATCGCATCAGTTTGGGGAATCGTTAGGCCTGTTGAGGATTGTCACTGATGGAATCTTTGGCACACACTGCTCTGTGTTACACCCACTACCAGAGATTGTTCTAGAAGCTGGAAATACACCCTGAACAAGACGGAGTACAGCTCAACAGGGCAAGGACACTTGTCTCTCTAGTGCCCTGCTGTAGCCACACTGGGCTAACCTGACTCTGAAGTGAACACACATACAGGTAGGACTAAGTGATGGGAGAGTCGTCTCTGGGAAGGGGCGCTGTTAGATGACCCATGTTCAGTGGCCAGTCTGTTGCACCGAGGTCTCCATTTGCCCTAGGTGAAAATGTATTTAACAGAAATGTAAGCGTCAGCTTAGGAGTTAGTTGAACAGACATGGTTCGGCCTTCTTCAACTCTTCACTGGGACAGAGTGGACAGTCATGCTCAGAGTTGCTGGAAGCCTAAGTGACTGGACTGATGAGTGCCAGCCTGCCCACCGCAAGCATTTCCTAAGTGAGCCTGAAGGTTTGGGCCATTCTGGCTGAGAATGGGACTCAGGTCATTCTGAGAACTAAGCCAGTTTCCTTAGCATGTGCTGGATTGAACCTGACCGCAGGGGGCCACAGCCAGACACTATGGTAGTCACTCGGCTTTTCCTGGGTGCTCCTGCTCCGGGGTGTCATTTCATTTTCCTGAGATGACAGCCTTCATCTTGGGCCTTTGACCTCTTCCTCCCTTGCCCCTGAGTGAAGGACTGAAGTGCCTAGGAGATGTGATTCTTCAGATATCCTGCCTGGGAAGTCTAGCTTCTAGAACGTGCTTTCCTCTCTGACTTAACATGTGCAGTCTCTTGTCCATGTGGTCTCACAAAATTCCCATGAACTGAAGCCGACAGTGGGGCTTTAACAAATGGCAAGTTACGGTTCTCCAAGCTTCTCATGGGCAGTGAAGGACTTCTGGTGCTTTCCAAAGAGGCAGCTGCCCCTGCCCAGGCAATGGTCAGTCACTGCTTTGATTAATAAGGTTGTTCAGCAGAAAAGCAGGCAAAGCTGAAGCTCTGAGCTGACCAGGATGACACAGCCTATTCAGAGGACCCCTGTACAGTGGAGACCGTAGACACAGGTGTCCCCGTAGCCATCTGGTTAGCTGCTAATTTTACAGCATATTTTCTTCGTTTTTGGGAGAATAGAGTCAGGAATTTGTTTTTCAAGAAACCCCTTTTCCTATTGGGAAGGGTCTGTTGAAGTGTTGTCCTGTGTTTTGTTTTCCAATTAGCTGAAACTTCAACCCAGCAGGGTTTCAGTAGTAACCAAGTGAGCCCTGGGTGGATGAAGACGAGTTTGCACTGGTTTCGACCTGGGCCCTGGAATCAAGTTTCTGTTTGCTTCCTGGCTGAAGCATTTACAACTGTGATTTCAAGTGAGCCATTTAGCCTTTTAGGGCCAGCTTTCTCATCTCTAAGACACAGTAATTAAGTCCTCCATCCACAGTAGTAGCTGTTTATGCTAGTCTTCCTGAATTCACTAACCAGCCAGTGACTGGGAGGAGTGCAAAGGTTGGCAAGAAAACCAGGTGTCTTCATGGCTGCATACCCTTCCCACCTGGCACTTCCAGCAAGGCCTGGTGGCATGCATTTCTTTCTTTCTTTCTTTCTTTCTTTCTTTCTTTCTTTCTTTCTTTCTTTCTTTCTTTCCTTCTTTCCTTCCTTCCTTCCTTCCTTCCTTCCTTCCTTCCTTCCTTCCTTCCTTCCTTCCTTTCTTTCTTTTCTTTCCTGCTTTGTTTGTTGGTTTGTTTGACTTTTTGAGACAGGGTTTCTCTGTGGCACTCTGGTTGTCCTGGAACTGGCTCTGTAGACCAAGCTGGCCTTGAACTCAAAGATTGACTTGCCTCTGCCTGCTGAGTACTGGGATTAAAGGTATACACCCAGCTGCTTCTATTCTTTCTTAATACCTCCACCACAAACACACATACACACCAGCCCCAAGTTACTCCCTGTGAAATAAAGGCTGTCTTGGTTGAGCATTGATTGCTTTTCATTAACCATAGTAGAGGAATCATCTCAGCATTTTTGGGATCTGAGACCAGTACACTGCTCAGTCTCAATTAAGATGGTGCCTCAGAATCTGGGCAGTGGTGGCACACGCCTTTAGTCCCAGCGCTTGGGAGACAGAGGCAGGCGGATCTTTGAGTTCAGGGCCAGCCTGGTATACAGAGTGAGTTCCAGGACAGACAGGGCTACACGGAAAAACCCTGTCTCGAGAAACAACAAACAAAATTGTGCCTAGAGGGCCTGGGTATCTGCAGTTCTGTTGCTTGCTGGAGAAGAGAGAGGAACCCTGGAACTAGGAGTTACTGCTTAAAGTTGGCGTTGTTTTCTGTCCTAACTTGTCACAAGATTTTTCCTGGCTGAGTGGGCTTGCAACAGAGACCTGAGTGTGTTGCTTAGCAACAAGATTTTGTGGTGCCCGGTTCTCAAATAGTCAAGTAACCCATCAGTCCCCAACCTCCCCCTCTGCTGGCCTGCAGCTCCCACCAGAGCCTCTGAGTGTGTGGCAGAGGGAGGGACCAGCGACAAGGGAAGTTTAATCATTGATCCGAACAGTAAGTATTTAGTTCTAGCACCGAGCTCCCAGCCTGAACTAGAAGTGTGCAGCACTCACAGCGACTGGACGGAAATCTCTGCCTGTCCCAGGAACAACCAAGCTCGGGGAACATGTTTGCGGTACACTTGATGGCGTTTTACTTCACCAAGCTGAAGGAGGATCAGATCAAGAAGGTGAGGACTCGAAGCTGAGGTGTCTGGCCCAGTCTACATTGACAGACCCAAATGACTGCCTCTCAACATCAAAAGGGATTAAGGCGCTGGGGCGGGAGGGGGGTATGTCTCTAGGGGCAGAGTGCTTGCCTAGCTTGTGTGAGGTCCTGGATTCAACCCCCAGCATGGAAAGGAAAGAGTATTTAAGCGACTTTATTAGAAAAGATACTGGGAGCCAATACCAGTGACAGTCTCAGAGCAGAAAGGTAGCGAGTCTCCCACGTTCCTTACTGTCCTGAGTCCTGGCTTTCGGTCAGAGCCTCTTGGCAAATATGGAATATGAAAGTCTTTAGAAAACTCAAAGAACTTTGTGCCCAATTCAGGGCTATTTAGGGGTGAGGCCACAATGAAGGTGAGTCATTTGTAAAGAAGCAAGACTTTTAAAAGCATGTCTGATTATTCATGTATTTGAAATCAAATAAAATAGGGACACCAAGAGAAATACATGTTTATTTTGTTATTTTGATACAGGGTCTCATTATATGGTTCACACAGGTCTCAGGCTACTCCTGCCTCATTCTCCCAGGTATCTGGGATCACAAGCCATTAGGTATGGCTGAGATGTAAATTTTAATACACTTGTATTTTTGGTAAGCATGTGCCATTTGCCCATGACATCCTATTAATAATGTTGTTGACCTCTAGCTAATTTGTACCGGGCTGTGATTGGCTGATAAAATCAGGATTCTCTCCTGGCAGCTAAAATGAGCCCAGCCTGCTTCACTGGCTGCTGGCAACTGCAAGAAGGAGGCATGCAGCTTCTCAATGGATAACAGGAGTTCTCTGGGCAGCCAGACTCTGCCAAGGTCACCCAGGCTTTAAAAGTGAAATGAGGATCTAGCTGAAATTGGCAGATGCCTATTGGCTAGACCACAATGTGCTTTTTGAAATATGAGAGAGAAGTTTGTCCCTTGTAGCCCTCCTGTGCTGGTGGGTAAACTCCCACTGACTGCATTCCCATGAGAGCCAGGTGAGAGCCAGCAAGAGGCTGAGGAGCAGAAACCCATCACTTTAACAACTGTTTCAGCCTGTCATGTGCTGGCTGCTCTGGCTCTAAAGTCCTTGCAGCCCTGCCTCAGAACTCACTTTCTGTTTCTACCTGCTGGGCAGAGATGCTACCCCAGGCAAAATTTTGAGCCTGGAACCTTTAGGTTGCAAAGTCTGTCATTTCCTTGACTCCATGCAGTGGCGCCTTTTGCTCTAGCTGGGGCCTGTATGTCTGCCACCGCGGGGACAGGCTCCACTGATATAGTCCGGATTCTCTGGAAGAAGGGCCAGCTTTGTTCAATACTTGGGTTGAGTTCCCCCCTCACCACGGAAAGCTAGAAAGTCAGCAACTGCCAGAAGCCTCCCTAAGCAAGAGTCTAGCAGGTCCCTTGGGCTTGTGGGTAGACTGGTTTGTAGCAGGTATGAGTCACAGCTTGGAGGACATTCCTCCGCAGGTCAAATCAGCTTGTCCAAAGGCAAAGAGCATTGTCAGAGTGGAATTACCACGTGTAGTGGCTCCTGCCCGACCATTTGCACACGTCCTGCCTCTGGAGTTGTCAAGGTCCTGGGACACGCTCCCTTGCAAAGATTACTCCTCAGAGCCTTGCACCATGTTTGAAAATCTCCTCAGAATGACATTAAGACAAAAAGAAGGCCTGGCATTGATTTCCAGCAATATATTGACATATTTGACCTATTGATAATGCTGGGTTGGACCTGGTCATTGACCCACAGATGGTTCATTCGTAAGAATGGGGCAGACTGGGCTTTCAGTGTGTGTGTGTGTGTGATTGTGTGTATGTGTGTATTTAGAGTTTAGTAAGTCAACATTGCCGAAATGTGGAGATACTGAATCTCCTCTTTAATTTCCCTCAAGCCCTCCCGTGTGCGCTGTCAGCAGCTTCGCTCTGCTCTTGGTGTCGCGTTTACCATTAGTGGCGTGCACGGTGCTTCAACTCTGATTGCCTCCTCTACACACTTCCCCAT